TTGCCACGCCCATTTTCCAAAATTTTATCACAAACATATTTCTTGGTTAAGAATTGTTGTAAGCATCAATTTTGAATAAATTAGCTCTAATATTTACTCATTTATAGAAGATTTTGTATTTCTCTAAATTACCGTTATATAAGATACGGGCGTGGTTATTGTCCGGACTGTAACCACGCCCACTTCCCATATAACGGTAATTTCCAGAAATACGAAAACTGCGATATTTTAGGAACTACTGAAGATTATTCACTCAAAATTGTTATTTACAATAATTTTCAGACGAAAAATAAGAATATTATAAATTTTTGGAAAATGGGCGTAGCCACGCCCACTTGTGGTTACATGTATATATCTTAGGAACCGCTACACCAATTTCTTCCAAACTTGGCACAGTTGTTGGCCTTCGTACAACATACCAAATGGCCGAAAATTTTTAAAATCGGACAATAACCACGCCCACATCCCATATAACGGTAATTTGGAGAAATACAAAATCTTCGATAAATCAGTAAATATTAAAGCTAATTTATTCAAAATTTATGCTTGCAACAATTCGTTACCAAGAAATACGTTTATGGTACAATTTTGGAAAATGGGCGTGGCACCGACCACTTATGATCACATATATGTATATCGGTAACCGTTCTACCAATTTGTACCAAACTCGGTACTTTTATTTTGCTTGCCACATAAAAGCAAAACGTCGAAAATTATTGATATTGGACTAAAATTACGGCCGATTTTCACATAACGGTAAATTTCAGAAATGCTTGAAACTGCGATATTTCGAAATTTAAGGACGCTAATTTACTCAAAATTGATACACCACGGCTTACCATCTAGCGGTAGCTTTCGGAAAGGTGGAAAACATATATTTAATACTTGCACCGGGTATTTAATGTTCGGCTCCGCCCGAACTTAGACTTTCTTAATTGTTTTATATTATAAACGGTCGTTGAACTAAAATTTTTCGTTTGAGTCAAGGTACATTGAACAGGTAGTATCAGTAGAGCAGCTGATTAGATTTTTTTTGTTAATTATTTGGTCTCTAAAATGTAAAATATTTTAAATTTATTCTCACAAAAACTATAAATTGTCAAAATCTCTTTGCATGTGAAACCTTTTCCCATAAAAAACAAGCGATTGAAAAGCAACTTTTGGAACGTACACTTAACTCAGCAGCACAAACGCTGATTACTGGGCCTTGCAAATGAAAGAAAGTCTCAACAACTTTTTTTTAAATTTAATTTTTAATTTAAATTTTTTATTTTTTTTGTTTTTTACATGGCACACTTTGATAAACAAAAAATAGAACAGTTTTTTACACTTGAGAGATACCAGAAGCAAAACAAAATACATGTAAATGTGGTTTTTGCTCTAATGCTACTTTCTGTTTGATATTCCTTGGTTTGAGTACAAGTAGAATCTAGTATTTTCTACCGATACCTTGAGTAGCATCGACAATTCCCTTCGATAAATTTAATGAGTACAAGCATCGAGTACATGGTGGTATCGTAGGAAAACTAGAAGTACAACTCTATTTTTGTATCTTATCTTATCTGAAGTTAAATTTTAATAAAATGTCATTTCATAAAGAGCTATAAATATTCGTCACCGATTAGATGAAGTATACAGAAATTCGTAGTTGCTTTGAGAAAAAATTTAATACATGTATTCCAACATCTTTTCAATCCTTTTCAATAATAAAACTACAAAAGAAATATCCGTTTGTTATGTGATGTGTGGTTGGATAATAAATACATAGCGACTATGAGAATGCAATTTTTTCCCGATTTTCGATAAACGATTGACGTACCGACAATCAGAATAAGAGCGATTATTGAATCCAAAGTAATATCGCTCGCTCGTAGATAATTGTAAGATTATTGGCACATTTATTGCAATGCTGTGCAAATATGTGTGTTATTAAGTTTCTCTATATTTGTATGCACATTCTGCTAGGTTTTTAGTTTTTTAGTTTCGCAATTTTTGCTTCTTTGATTTATAATTATTCGATGAGTAAATAGTGCTTTAAAATTTAACATTTTTAATACGATTAAATTTGTTGCTATTACCATTACATTTAGATGATCTCAACCTTCACTTACAACGGACATTTTTGATTTAACGGTCTATCTGAAGTTACTGCCGTTTTTGAAAAACGTCAACATGTCAAAACGTCTAATGTGCGATACGTAATAATTTTAATAAATTTAGTCATTTTAAAATCAGGAAAATTAGGATTTTCATTAAAATGGTTTTTATTTTTAATAGTTACGTAGATAATTTTTAAAATTTTTTTTAATTTTTATAAATTTTATGGGGATTTGTCGAAAGCAAATTGGCTGCAGCAGTTCACACCATAAATCAGTCTCAATTGAATATAAGATGATTCGGAGAGTTTTAGTCAATATTTTGTAAATACATAAGCTCAGGGTCGACTTTAAAGTTTAAACATTCCCCTTTCGTTTTTCCTCCCACCAATAACTTTTGATTATGCATCCTACAGATTGTTTTCTACTATGTTTGCCTCTACACGATTGTTAAATCTTTTTATTGTTACGGTTCTCTTTTTTCTGAAACTTATTTCATACCTTTGAATGTTTGCTCTATTTGCGTTCGCTTAAATTATCCGAGTCATCAAACTTGGGCGGTGGATCAACTCGTATATCCAAACCACATGCATAGCGTTCATACTCAATCGGTTCGTTTTCATAATCTGAGAGGAAATCCGGATATGGCAACTCGCTTATAGTGGTACGTCTTATCGTGCCAGTGGCCTGTACAAATCCACTTCTTTCCTCACTTGAATTTGCTAAATCGTCGGATAGTCCAGCCTTGCTCTCAAGTTCACTCTCATCTGGAGTAGCATATGGTTGCATGTGATATTGCTCTGATGCTAGGGCTGCAGATGTCGATGTTTCTCCGGTGAATTCACTGGTGGTTGATTCCTCTCGTTTTAGCTGACGTTTTTTGGTGCGTGCTGGTTTTACTGGCTGGCCATTAGGTGGTGGCATTGGGTGATTAGCTGGCGCCGGTTTATAAGCCATGTTTTGACTTGAAATTGATTGCATTAATTGGGGCTGATACATCGGATTGGTAATATGACTAAGACGATCGTACCGCGGAAAGCCCATTTCATCTACGTTATCTGTCATGTCCAGACTTTCGAACTTACTGGATGCTGCATACGCGGCTCCAGAATACTGCGGATACTCGTCATACTCATCTGTTTCTTGTTCGTGTTCTAGTTCTTCGTCGAATTCTAAATACTGATCCTCCAGTCGATAGGAGGGTTCTGAGCTGCCCGAATCGATTTCTGGCAAATAACCTTCCGAACATTCTGAGCTTTCCTGTTCCGCTAAGGCTCGTTCTGTCGAGCGCACTCGTTTGGCAGGCACCTGCCGCTTTCGACGATATCCCTTGTTACGTAACTTTAGATCTTGTGTGCGTATATCCATTGAGCTGTCAGTGTCATTGCCGCTTGGTGGACTTTTAATTATGGTGTTCCGGGTTATTGAACATTTTCGTGGTGGCTTTTGTATCAGTTGGTTTGGTGGTGATTCAGAGCTTAGGCTACTTGAATAATACGGCGAGCATTTAACGAGCTTTTCGGCACGTTGCGGTAACATTGGCGATGACGTTTCCGTACTTGTTGTATTCTCACTATAAATGGTTGCTGATGTCGTGGCTGACGAAACTCCATTACCTTCTCCCCCCTGCGAGGACTCTTCATCGATGCGTGGTGGCATCGATTCCTGCGAAGACTGCTGCGACTTCGAGAGCATGTGCTCGTGAAAGGAGTTCGATTGGCGCAGTTTATTTGTTTTATATTCTCGTATTTGTGATTTCGACAAGGTTTTATCATCATAGCTATGATGCTTAGCGAGCGCTTTCCCTGGCAGTTGGCCAGCGGAATGGGCTCGTGGTAAGTCGTTTGGCGGTGTGGTCGGTGGTATATTAGTCACAGGTGGGGGTGCAGTCTTTGTGGATACACTCGCCTGAGATGATGTCGATGCTTCAGAAGCTGAAGCAGAAGCGGAGGTTTCCTCTACCTTACTAACGGCTTTCATGTGTCTCAATAAGGCTTGCATAAGCGGACGTGTTACTTGGGGTTTTGGTTTTGTGGGGGGTTGCGGGGCTCTGGGCTTTGCAGATGCTGTTTGAAGATTTGGTTGTTGAGCTTGCGCTATGGATACATGTAATGGAACGAATTCTTGACTTTGGTAGCGTTCCGTTAATTTTTCGCTTGGCGAGTACAGACGCTCCACGAACGGAGATTCGCTCTCTGATGAAATCTCTTGACTTTGGTACAGCTTTGACATCATTTCCAATGAACGACGTTTTCGTGCAGCGCTCGTGTTCTCTGTAACGCCTTCTTTGTCCTCCAATCTTATCAATCGGGAAAGCGAGTTTTGTCTTCCATTATCGCCTAATTTAGGAGGCGAAACTTTTTGACCTGCTTCTTCTGTACTAGCACGACCATTATTGCCATTACTAGCACTTCTTCGATGCACTTGTGGAATAACAGTTCTCAACTCCTCGCTGGGAGACTTTTTCGCTGTCATTCGGGACTGTTTAAGTGGAACGTAGTCTATATAACTGCCCCGTCTACTGCCTCTTGGATCCTTGGAAGTTTCGCCAGATTGAGCTCCGACCAAAGTGCGACTACTAGATGTAGACCACTCAGTTATCGTATGCGCCATTTCCGTTAGAGTTAGTGTCGTATCATCACTTTTTGTCGCCGACGTAGCTTCAGACATTTTTTCGGTCTCAGAATTGGACAGTATGTCATACCGCAGACCATCGGATGAACCATTATCACCTGATAGTCCTTTTGAAAAACTTCCACTTTGTTCATTCAAGCTCTCTGCTGATTTATTTATAGAACTCATACTGGACTTAGTGTGATTCGACTTCTCACTTTTCGCACAGGATTGCGTTGACACTGCTGAAAGACTATCTGAACCAGAGAGATTCGCGTACTGTCGTACGGTGTTGGTGCCAGTGGACCATTCAGAAATACTTAGTCCTATCGATGTGTCTTCTGAATGGGAACTATGCGTGCATTTCTTTTGTTGTAAACCCATGCGCACTGTGCCATCCAAATCTGTCCCAATGGAGCTTGTATCCTCTTCAGAATGGCTAGAATGACTGCATTTCTTACAGGAACCTGAACTGAGACGACTTTCATAATTTCGAAGCACTGTAGTCTGATCTTCCATAAATGTTCCAGATGCTGACAAAATATCATCAATAGAGGTATCCGAATTATTTGAGCCTCTGGACAACTTTCTCAAGTATTCCGTTGTACGACTTCCATCGGAAGACAGTTGGATCTTCACGGTGCCAGGCATGAAGACATCGTCACTAGAGAATACCTCATCTTCAGAAATTGGACTACGGATTGTTGGTGAACGTGTAGGTTGTGAAATGATCACTAAATCTGGGCTGGAATCCTTGCGAAGAGGGGAAATTTGGGTGGATTTCGGCGAGGACGAGCAAGTAACAGTAAATGAGGACGAAAGACATGAGGCAGCACTCAAGGTTGAACTTAAACATGTTGGGGTATCATGTTGGGCATCTTCATTTTCAAAATCTTTATTTTCAAATGCTGCTGACATTAAATATGCAGTATCTTCATAGGGTAAGATTTTCGCGATATCTGGAGGTGTAATTGGAAAGTCTTCATTAGAGAGCCTATCATCGGCCTGAGATTGAGCATCATCATCGGTTTTATCTGTTGCTGTAAAGGATTCTACCATCACTTGATCCGCACTTTGAGCTTCAGTAGCATAATACGTTTCTATATCTCCCACTATTAATGGCGCCTCAATGGCACTAGCCGGCGGAGAAGGCCATTCTTGTGAATCTTGCGACTGAAAAGATTTACTGGCTTTCCAGCAAAATGTTTTCGGCACAGGCTTGTCTAAATCGGGCATTTGGTAGATGGATTCTACAGGTTTCACTGGCACGTAGTCGAAAGGAATTTCTGGAAGAGGCCAATCCTCTGAATCTTGGCTACCTGCATTTGAAAGACACATAAGAGTATGCCTATCAACATCATCGGCCTGTTGCTCTTCAACCTGGGTGACTGAAAACCGCCCAGTAACTACAATCGGAGACTTTGGTTCATTAAAGCTACCAATGCTGGAAAGTCGATCTCCAGTGGCTGAGTCACATGGAATATCCGGCATTTCGGCCGAAGTCCGTCGGTCTGCATCTGATATATACGCCAAATTTGTATTGCTTCTAGAGTCCGAACTGAGACTTGGTTGATGATCGGTCGAACCTACAGATTCGTCCCGCATGCTTACTGAGTGTGTAGAAGCTTTGCTGACGTCATCTTCCATACTAGATTTCTCAGACGCTGTACTACGTTCTGATATTCGAGACAGAGTACGCCCAAGAGTAAAACCAGTGCTATAACCAATAATATCTGTAGGGTTTACGCCGATGCCACTCAATGAACTGGTCATAGCAGGATAACCAAATGTAGTCGGAAAGTCGTTTAGCTCATCCTGAAAGCTTGTATCACTTTCTTTTTGATCATCTGGTGATACCTCCTTCAAGTCACTGTCGGAAGAATCACGTAATGGATTATTGGCATCGTATCGTTCATATCCATCAGTTTCAACGTGATGCCAAGGATCATCTGTACTAGAACTTCCCGAACTTTCTATGGGGAACGGTTTCCATGTTGTTTGTTGTTCTTTCTGTTGCAATTCACCTCTGCGCTGTGCTGCACCCATTGAACCCGAGCTACTTTCGGTCTCAAAGGACCCACGGGACTCAACACTAAGCGATCCCTTCGAGTCAAAACTAGATTTTGATTCTTGTGAGCTGCTGCCTGATTTTCCCGGCTTATCAGTTCCATCACTTTTTACTACCGCTAACTTCTTGCCAGCGTTGGCACGCGCAGGCTTCTCAATCTTTGGCTGCTTTTTCGACGTACCTGAACTAGATTCACTGTCTTCATTTCGTTGTAGGAGCTTTGTTAGCTTTTCATCAATAGGATCTAGAAAACTTTCAGTGCTAATGCCTAGATCTATTGGACTTTGTTTCTCTAAGGTTGGAGTTGTCGGTTTCTTTACAATGACTTTCGGTTCATTGGTAGACGTTGTTTCATCTGAACCTGGAGCTTTAGCTTTCGGAGTTGTAAGTCCTTCGGTTTCAGCCCCATTTCCAACATCTAATTTAAGCATTCGCTGTTTAAGCTCTAAACATTTCTTCTCTTCAACATCTCCAAAATCTTGGGAAATTCCCAACGGTCTAGCGATTGAGCAACTAACACTCGACTCTTCGTCCATAGAACTCTTCTCCTTTCCGCCACTGACGGATAAACTCCAATCATGTGTATGCTCGCCTCGGTGAGGGCTAACATCTTTTTCCCCACTAGTCCACGAATCAGAACTTTTTGATTTGTCACTTTGTTTGTCCAAACTGGGTTTCTTTTTGCTATCGGATTTTTCGGTTTGATTTTCAAATGTTTCCAAAACCGACTTTTCCGCCATAGGACTAGTGCTTGGTGGCGTGACCAAAATATTTAAATCAGATGTCGGTGTGGCACAATTAGAGTATTCTAATGGTACAGCGTCTTCCAAAGTAGCTTGTGTCTCTAGTATATTACGGTCTGGTTCTAGAGTGCGAGGTTCATTATCAGAAGTATCAGAACCAACAAATTCATCACACTCCACAGTTATCCAAGAGCCTGTTTCATCACTACGACTGCGATCCAAACTTAATCGGTTGGTATCTTGATGTGACACCTTCAAATGACGACATTCTCCAGAGTTGTCGTCTTCTTCAATGGATGGCTCCTCACATTCAATGGTTGGCACGCGATGCGGATAAACATCTGGCGGAACCGGAGATTTGCTAGCTGGTGAATGGCTATCATCGGCTGATACAAACGAATCTAAGCTCTCTGCTGTTGACGGTTTACGGCTGTATGTACCATCACTCTCTTTGGTGTCTTCCGACGGCAAAGATCTTTTCAGAATCTCTAACGATCGTCTTTCTGAAATAACTGCCTGCATATCTATATCTTCGTGAAAATTGTATTGATGGGCGAACATACGTCGATCCCCAATAGCACTTCGAATGGTAAATTTCTCATCGGCTTTCTTTGCTTCCACGGTCGGAGATGGCTTCTTGTCGTCAAGGCTCTTTGCTTTAATATCTGTTCCAAGGTAATGATGCTCAGCAGGTTTCTCCAAGCTGCTAGACTTTCCATCAATTTTTTTATGCACAACACTTCCTTCAATTTTTTGTTTGATTTCCTGGCTTTTAGCAATTTTCTTAGGTGATTTAATCACCATGTCCTCTGGTACGTCTGATTTTTCCGATTCTTCAAAAGATTTATTGCGATCTTCAAAACTGCGATTTGCTTTATCTAACTTATCTGGACTACGGCCCTCGTCGAAGCTACGACTAAATTTCACCAAGGAAGTGTCCAGTTTTCGCGGCGATTTTGCTATTAAAACATGGTCTTCGGCTTTGCTCTTAAACTCGGTTTCTATTATAATTTTATCCCCATCAGTCTTTACCGAGATCTTATCCTCGGGAGCAGGGAATGGCGGCAATGAATCTTTAACAGGACTAAGCATGGTTATGGTCTGCTTCATAGCCGACTCGTATAATTTTTGTTGACGTTCCTTTCGTTTAGCTATATCCGCCTCGGTTTCCTCCTGAGACTTACTTTTGTCCTTACTTAAACGGCGAGCTTCAATTGAACGTGGGCGCTCTTTAGGGCTTGATTTCTTGCTTTTACCGTCTTTCGTCTTAATATCGTCAACACTAGTGCGTCGTGATTCTGGGCGACTTCGCGAAGTCGCCGACTTTATTTTGATACCATCTGGCGATTTTGGTCCCATCTTCAATTTTCCTTTTCCAGTACTTTCTATACTACTGGCACGCGAAACTCCTGGTGAAGTCTTTCGTGAGCTATTAGCTGAACTATACGGTGACCAATCAGTAAAACGATACTTTGGTATATCCAAAATTAGATGCTCTCCGCTTTTTAGTTTCATCTTGGACTTTTTCTTAGCTTTAATCTTAACACCTTGCAATGCAATTTTCTCAATATACCTCAGCTGATCTAGCAGCTGCAACTCTTCATCATCAATTGTCGCGGTGTTGAACAAAGAGTCCTTTCCGGCTGTGTGATAGCTTGTCTGAGTAGGTATGGAACCGGCACATGAGTGTACACTATCGGCAGTGTCATCGTCTTGCTGCCCTCCAGACTGTCGTTGAATTGATTTCTCCTCCAGAATTTCGGCTTCCTCTTCGAACCCAACGGTATCGTCTTTGGATGAAAATGCATTCATGGGTGGTAGTCGGTGTAATGATATGACTGGAGTATCTAGGCTCTTAGTACGCCGCTCAGTAGTTGGTGACTCTTGAGTCGCTTTTTGTCGTTGAAGAGAAACCGAACCTTCAGACAAGTTGAGGCGAGCATGCGCAAACAGTATCGGAGCATGACCTTTGGAGCGTATTACTATCGAAGAGTCTATAATATCTTCGATAAACTTAGCTTTCGATTTCGGCACTTCAGTTCGTGGCGATGGTTTCTTCTTCAAAGTATAACCTATATCAGATTCAGTTGTTTTTACCTCTTGACATGTTTCGTAAATATCGTCGTTGCTTCGGAAAAACTCTGCGTGTTCTAATATGGGCGACGGAATATTTTCGTTGCGTTGATAATCGTTTGTGCATTCATCCATGCGTCGTGTAGGGACATGTAGTGGTGGCTCGTCTTCCGAGGACGGAATAGAAATCGATCGCTCTGAAATTCGCCTTAACTCTGACGTATTAGCATATTGTGGATCAAGTTTTTGTGTATGATAGCGACTTTCCAGTTCAGCAAGTCGCCTGCATTGCGGCGGGGATCCCTCAATTTCCGTGGAGCTCATCGTCTGTCCACGACCCCAGGCGGCTGATATCAAACGGCTTTGTTCTATGCGCAATATGGGTTCAATTTCTTTTCGGGATTGGGGCGGCGAAAACTCAAGACGAGCAGGTATAGCTTCTGCCGAACCAAAAACATCATCAGAATCGAGACTTTCATCATCGGAGGAAAATGATGTTATTCGAGTTTTAGCTTTCTTGGGTTTATTTGAAATTTTTGTCTTAGGTATCACACGCGGCTTTACCACCTTCCTCGTATTGGCTTGTAGCTCTTTACGAATACTCTGAATGAGTTCTATTTGCTTTTGTTCAAGTTTATTTTTCTGTTGCTGGATACTTTCTGTGCGGGATGAGGTCGCGGAATCGCTTTCTATTTGACTAAGTTTCTTATTTAGTTTTTCTAGCAGTGAGGGATCCATTTGCTTTGTAATATCACGCTTGGGTGAATACAGTTCAATAGTGGGTATGGATTTATCCACTTCTAAAGTTATGGGGTCAACTTTAGAAAGATCAATATTTTGAGTAAAAAGAAATTCTTTCGTTTCTGCTGGCAATAAGCTATCTAGTATATCTGGCAAAAAATCAGCAGCCTGACTTACTGGAGTTGCGGTGGCTTTAACAGCCTCTGCCTTGGGTGATTTCGGAGATTTTGGCGATTTTGGAGACTTAGGCGACTTCGGCTTGCCATGCTTTTTCTCACCAAGTGAAGGGGCTGTGCCATTCATTACATGACGCTTATGTAAAACATATGGTATATCATCTTTGAGCACCTTGGGAAACCGTCTGTCATATTCTCTAAAGAAACTCTTTGGTAGCTCGAATCCAGCTTTCGGTATGTCCACAGGAACTGATGCCACATCGAAAAACTTTGGGATCTCAAAGTTACCATGGGCCTTACACAGTGGCGGAGCGCTCGGTATTTGCTTGTAAATATAATCTTCATCACTTGAATCGGCTGGGGTTAAATCTATGGACTTCTGATGCATTAAAACATGGCGTCGCGAATTGCTGCCTAGACGAGCGCGGTTAGCCAAAGAATTTGGATCACTTTTAGTTCGCTCCACTGTAGCATGTGCATAGTTTAGAGGTGCCATAACAGGATTGTACTCTTCAAAATGAGTTTTAGCCATTAATTCTTCCTTCCGCGTTACTTTTTGCTTAGCGGCACGCGCTTGTTGTTTTTCGAATTCTGAGATTAGTTCAGGTGTTAAGGGATATTCGGGACTTTGCTTGGGCTTCTCCTCTTTGCTTTGGACTTCCCACTGTTTTGTGTAGTTTTGAATGCATTCAATGCGGTCCTGGTCAAAACTGAATATGTTCTCACTATCCGAACGACGTCGAAAAGTCGAAATTTTAGACGACTGTGAGTCCCCTTTTTTAATTGGCGCTGTTTGATCGATGGAGTCATTAGTTTGAATTTCTTTCTCTTCGCATTTTTTACCCAGAGCCGGTGTTGAAACTCCATCCGGCGATTTACCTCCAAATGACTTAGCATTTCTTTCAATTTCAACATTTTGGAGGCTGATCGAGTGAACCTTAGATGTTTTATGCGACTTATTACTCGGAAATGTTGAATATGTGTCACGGCTGTCGTAGAATGAGCTATTGGCAGTTGAGCTATGCGTATCGGACAGCAAACAATCATGGCTTTTTACCTTAGGTCTACCACAAAGACTATCGGTATCAACGCCCTCTACGGCATCGTAATAGTCACTCTTTGATTCTTGACTGGACTGTTGGTATTTCTCATATTGTTCTTTTTTATTCAAATTCTTCAATTTCTTTCCAGTTGTGGTTGGCATTTCATAGTTGCGACCGAAACAGTCCCCAACTAGAGATTCTTTTGAATCTTGGCTAGATGCTACTGAAGTTTTACTCTTGGTTGTTTCACGTGACTTTTTGCTATCAGTGTGGTACAAACTGTCACGAGATTTTTTGCTTGAATCCGAACTTCGCGAAATTTTCGTCTCGAACACTTCACTGCGACTCTCTTGGCTGGAAGTGCGGGAAAGAGCTTCTTTAACTTTCTTATAGAAGCTACCGTCCGACTTAACACATAACTTCTCTCGAGGTAAGTAACGGGGATCTTCTGAATCCCAAATTTCGTTCATAATATCGACTGCGGATTTGCACTTAACATCCATTGCCGAACGATATTTATGCTGCTCCGAGACCGACTCATCGTCACTTGGTATATAGTTGCCCGAGTCCAGCGAACAAGAGCGGATATGGTCATCTGAACGACGGCGACCACTGAAAAAGTCAATGTCATACTTTTCTAGTAATTCGTAACTATCCTGTGAGATGTCGTCTTGTGAGCCGGCATAGTCAACGTGATGTCCATATCCACGCTTGTTCTGGTGATCTTGAGTATTGTATGTACTCCCAGGGTAACTAGAGGAATACACCTTCAAATTGGGTAATGGGGAAATGTCTTGTGTGGCATCAATTGAATGGTTTTTGGTTATATACATGGAATGTCTCGAATCATCGTAACGTGTAACGGGAGAATCAATACGATTAAACGAGAGGAACTCTTTGTCGAAAGCAGTCATTGGCTTCGGCTTTTCGCTTTCATAAAACGAAGAAAAGTCGTACAAATCTTTGCAAGAGCTGCTCTTCAACCAGGACTCCTTCTCCACTTGGTCATAAATGTTCTCCTCTTCATATTCCTCCTTATTATACTGTCTGGAAGAATACAGGTCGCCTGACGATATTTCGAACTCAAGTTTTTCCGAAGAAGTCTTAAAACGATTCAAGGGCGATCCAGCGACGCTGCATTCTTCAGCGGTACTGATCGGTTTTCTATCATTGACGGTCAAATAACTGTTGGGAATATTTGTGCCAGAACGCAAATTGGCAATCGAGTGTGCATGATGGGTAATATAGTGACTGTCATACGAATCAACAGAATCTACACCGGACAATTCGGAGTTACGTGGCAGTGAGTGCGTGTCACGCCGAGCTGTCCCACCATCCATGCCCGATACAAAGCTCTGAGAGTCTATTGAGGGTGTCAAAAAGTTTTCGGAATGAGTAAGTTTAGCACGCTCTGCCATAGCGTAGCGCTTAGTACCAAACCCTGTTCCGAAATATGATGACGACGAATCTGAAGGATGATTCAAGTCATTGTGATACTGATAATTAACACTTGAAAACCCACGGCCAGATTCGATTTGACCATTGAGCTGTTGCACATCCGTAATTCCCATTTGTTTGGCTCGTGTATACTGGAGTATCGATTCGTCAATGAATTCATCGCTAAAGTGTTTTTCTCGCGTTTTAGATTTGGTTTTTCGATTTACGGTAGCGTAGATGTCGTTACGATCATTCAGATTCAAGTTTTCGGAGTTTGATATTTTGTTTTCGGTTTTAGGTGTACTAATAAAGTCTGGATATTTGTAATGTCCAATGTCATTTATGTCTGTGTAGATGATATTGTCCGTTTCAGTTTCGGTTGAGTTATTATTATTAAGCAAACACTGTTTAGACATCGAATAATTGGTACTGCTATAATGGACTGGGATGACAGTTTCCGATTGGAACTCCTGTGACCGAAGCTGCTGATGATGGGCAGGGCCCGACGCCGCTGATACCATACTCTCCCGATTGGTGGTAGATGCGGTCAAGTCCGAATCCGCTTCCTCCTCGACTAATTCCTCCTCCTCCTCCAAGTCCTCCTCCTGTTCCAACTCCATAGAGCTGCTGAGATCCACCGAGAGACCCACTGTGTTGGTGGTGATAGTGTTGATGGTGTTGCTGTTGCTGGTGTTGGTGTGCATGAGCTGCGGCGATGCAGGGACATACGCTTGGGATGCCACTGAGACTCGACGAGGGGTGCTGCTGCTGTATAAGTGGGACAAATGGCTCAGACCTGCGCCATAAATCGTCCATTTCCAAGAACGACGATATCGTAAAGCACAAAGAAATTGAAATTTTAAATGAAAAGACATTGTTAGTGGAATGAGTTTTACGTGCTTTTGCAGTCATATCAATACAAACCATAAATATTTAACCGAAAATTTCCATGCACAAAATCTCTTTTCATCTATAATATAATCAGGAGCTCAACACAGAAAACATTTTTATATGTATGGCTGAGCTCCAAGTTGCATTAATGCAAAGCATCAGCCTCTTTTATTTCCGAACTATAACTGATGAAAAAGTCCAATATGCACAACCACGTTCAAATGCCGAATTTGAACTTAGTTGCACAAATTGTAAATTTGCATCCATTATAGCTAGAAATAAAAGAGGTTGATGCTTTGCATTAATGTAAATTGGAACTAAGCCTATATGTAACTTTTATGACAAAAAAAAGAAAAGATAATTTAATAATTTCCGATGGTAACTGAAATGGCGCAGTTATTTGTTTTCGGCTTATACTAACGGTTGCAGATGGAGCCAAATGGTAAGAAAAAGAGCTCAAACACGGTGGCTGTGAAGGGTTATTATTAAGACCACCTGTACCTAAATATCCGGTACAGTACCGAAACTTTTAGCTTTGTACCGTGTACCGAAACGAAGGTTTGGGTACAAGCAAATGTACCGGAATATGCAAAGGTATGTATATTTTTAAAAAAAAAAATCAATCAGCTGTTTGACTTGACTTTCAAGTTGCTACACGACTTGAAAGTAAAAATTGATATCAAGTCGACGTTCAAGTTGTAAACGTGCGTGTGTGTTAGTAAAAAAAGTGTGAGTGTATTGCAACTTGAAACCAAGATCGATATTTTAACCATCACTAGCTCAAATAATTATTAATTAATTTGTAACCAATGTTAAGTATTTATCTGGCTTTAAATAACAGGAATATTTGTCCTTTTTAAAGAAATAATAAGTTTTGCGAGCGCATTGTAAATATGTGGAAAATTTGTGGAATAAATCTAAAATTTACTTAAACCAATTTTTATTATTTTTCCCAGTTAATATGTTTGACAAAATTTCAAAAGAAAATAGTATATTTTAGTCATTATGTCTAAAAGAATGTTTGACTCCGAGTAAAACTAGGTACCATTCACTAAAATCAATAAAAATATTACGAAATTATGAAATTTTTTTAAGAGACAAATTCAAATATTTTTATACGAACTACTCAAACCTCAAAATGAATTCAATTTAACTGATACAATTTTTCTGTGAAATTACATCGAAGTGATTTTGAAAAAATCTTAAGAAAATTCATAACTTTACTCTGAATCGCACATTCTTTTCGAAGCAATGACTGAAAGAGACTATTTTGTTTTGTAATTTAATACTAAATAAAATAATAATAAAAATTTGTGTTAACTTCAGACTTATTCCAACAACTTTCAACACATTTACAATGTGCTCACAAAACTTATTTATTCTTTAAATAGTACAAACATACTTCCTTCCAAAGACTATAAAACTTAAAATGGGGTAAAAATTAACAGGTGAACATTTTTTAGTGCGGAAAGTCATGTAAAACAGGTTTTTTAAGAATAAGTCGAAAATTTGAGGGTGTTACAAAAATTTTAAATGCAGTTTCCTGAATTACTTGACCAGCCCTACGACGTGTACTAGGTCACTTAAAAAGTGCACGATCAGTGTAACACCTTGGGATTAAGCATAAGTGGCAAACAATATCACTTCTAAATGGGGGGCTATAGATTTGGCCAATACTGTATAATTTGCTTCAAATTAAATTTGTAATGGATTTTATAACATTTACGTAATAATAAAATAGAACTCAGAATGAAAGAAATTAATTTTACTGTACCGGATTTTTCAAAAGGAAAGTCGGTCACCTTAGGTATTATCTTTGAATTATCGTATCGGTTAACCTAAATCTTAACAAGCGAATAAATACAAACGGGGATACCCGCGTAATAAAATAATAGGCCGAAGTTTGCTATAGTTTTAAAATGAGACATTTTTATTGGAAATAAGTTCTTCATTAATATCTATAATGTACAGACATCAGCCTGTTACAATTTTATTAAATGTATAGATATTTACAACCGAAATTATTCACAAAGGAGTTCAAAAATGACATTCCTTTTTTTACTGCCCCCACATTCTGCCGACATAATTTACAGACGAAATTTATTTTAAGTTTTGATTAGCTGAGGGAGAGCAGGGGACCAGTTTTCGAGATTGGGATAGAGTTGGAAATTAGAGTAGGCGCAAATCGAGTCAACTACATTTTTCATAAACCTGGTATTTGAGCAAGGGAGATGTAGAGGAAGTGGTAGAACAAGATAAGACCCTTTCGCGTCTCTTCATTTGGGGATTTCATTGGAGAAGTCATGCTTCATAGGATAAAATAATTGCAACAATGGTTTGCCAAGCTGATACCAGATAAAACTTTGTGGCTTTGCGTGACATTTATAAATTTGCCAGCAAAGCGCCAGACGCAAAGGTATGCCACAATGAATGCCAAGAAAACAATTTTGTACTGCTTTTTTATTCGTGGATTTTATATATTTAGCTTTAAAAATATTAATAAAATATATAATAAATATATATCGTCGTTTAAAGTACAAAACCGCGTATCGTCATTCTGCAAAACCGCGTAACTGACATTGGCTGCCAAAAATTGGATTTGCTCACACAAGCTCTTGGCTCAATCCTTATCCATTCGTCCTGAAATATACTATCCAGAAATACGATTGCTTTATAAAAGGGAGAACCAATTTGAAATATGAGTATTTTTACGCTCTTGAAAATAATTTCTTCAACTTCATACACGCGGGTTTGCATTTTGTTGATACGCGGTTTTGCACTTTAAACGACGATATGTAATTAAATGTTATGTTTATGCATGAAAACTCGAATGTGGACGAAAGAAAATAAATATTAAACCGGCTGATTGCCAACGCACGAAAAAAGATGGGCATTGCGCAAAGTGCAATATTTTTTTTGTAAAAAGTATGTTTGTTAGCTCTTCACGCTGAAACGGCTGGACGGACTTGATTAATATTTGGCACACAGGCAATTTATTTAGCATATGAAATATTTGTCTCATAGCGTTGCCATCTCTTTGAAAAGTTTTAACCCTGCACTGCATGAATTCTTAAGGAGATGATTAAAATAAGTTAGCTGCGAAAATACGTTTTTTGCGTATCAATATAAACTATAAAACACAGCCCAAGTCTTTCCCTGTGTAAAGGTAGCAACCCGGATAACACACAACTCTAAGTTTGGAGTAAGACTAGTTTTATAAAGGTTTTACAAGGCTCTTCTCATAGACTGTGCTCTTATAAGGGTTTATAAGGCTCTGAATAAAGAGAATTTATTCACAAAAGCATTTATAAGGCTCTGCATGCAGACATATTTTTATATGCCTATTTTTCTATAGTCTTTTCTCTTCAATTTCATGATTAGTAAAAATCCTCTACTCATGCAAACTTTTAGATCTCTATAAACTGTCTTCATTCAGAGCGATTAATATTTTTTTTGTTAAGTAATTAGTCAGCAATAAGCATAATTATACACCTCTATAAATTTTCATATTTAGAGCAATTTCGCATTCTCTTTTTGAAGTACGATTTGTCTTCATAAAGATGATCGTCAACGCTCTTCAGTCATATAATTTCGGATTTCGCTAGATAAAATAACACTTTCTTTTTGAAGTTATAAGCCTCTATACATTTTTCTGTGTTGATATTTACTTACTGGCGTTTTATTCAATCGCATGAAAAGATGGAGCCCTGAGAAAACTGTGTTGCAAATTGGTAAAAAAAAGAAAACGAAATTGTGTGAAAAATTAAATTCCACAGTGGCGATAATTTCTCTTTTGCACACTTTGAATTTCTCGAGGAGAATTCGGGTTTATGATTTTTGTTTTCAAGCCAATATCGTTTTTGGATTGAATCATGAAAATCAACTGAAAATGTGTTTTTTATCTTATCGCTTTTCAACCAATATGTTATGTTATTCCATTTCTGGGACCATTGTTTTTGGGAACTTCCCAATCTTCTTCTTCAGTGCCAAGACGTCCATTTTTGCAAAATTGGCCAATCTTAAAAGATTTTCTTCGACTTATTTTTATAAAAATTTCAACAAGCGTTAACGATTGTTTGATTGAAATGCAGAAAAGGAACTCAAAATGAGCAAAAAGTCTTCGCTTCCAACGAAATGTCATTTTGTAGATCAAAATTTTGCACTAAGAGACACGTAGAGAGAAACAAAAAGGANAAAAAAAAAAACAAAAATTGCATGCTAACTTCGCGCAGCAAGCCTCTATTCAGCAAAAACAGTTGTGATACGATCTACTCACAAGAAATAAAGAGTTCTATAGTTCCCTAACAGTCCCGAAAAAGTTCCACTGAATTGTGCAAAAACCTAAAAATACCTAGTTGAGAAGATCACCCTTAGGCCGAGGTCACGCAATAAGCGGCAAAGCGGCTGAGCGGCTTAAATATAAAACTTATGACCTCTCGACCTTAGAGTTGTAGTAGTTCTGATGTCAAGATAATTCACAGATACAGATAATTCTGATTAATTTTTAATCCAACTTAAAAATTCAGAAAACTACAGCCCACAAAAGTAAAAAAAATGCGAGTATTGAAAATTCAAACTTCTAGTAGTTCTGACCACAGTTAATAACAAAATAAAAAGTTCAGCGGTTAATTCTAATACTTTTTATTCCAAAATGAAGATTAGTTATTAAAACTTCAGCCACAAAAACCTCAAAACAATTTCGAGTTTTAAAAATTCTGAGTTCAGTACTTCCGACATTATTGCGTAATTAATGCTCTGCTGCTCTTAAATTGTGTAAATTTTTTTTGTATGATTTAAGTTTGTCTGGGTAGAAACTATAAAATTCGTTAAAGTATTCTATCATAATCCAAAAAAGGCCATGAAATTACTAAGTAAGCACTTAGTGCGTAGCAGTTAATTTTCAAT